CCCCTCGCCCCTCCCAGGCAGCACCTCCTTGACCCTCCCAGGCAGCAACCCCTCACCCCTCCCAGGCAGCACCCCCTCGTCCCTCCCAGGCAGCACCCCTCGTCCCCCCCCAGGCAGCACCTCCTTGACCCTCCCAGGCAGCAACCCCTCACCCCTCCCAGGCAGCACCCCCTCGTCCCTCCCAGGCAGCATCCCCTTGCTCCTCCCAGGCAGCATCCCCTTGACCCTCCCAGGCAGCACCCCCTCATCCCTCCCAGGCAGCACCCCCTCACCCCTCCCAGGCAGCACCCCCTCATCCCTCCCAGGCAGCATCCCCTCACCCCTCCCAGGCAGCATCCCCTCATCCCCTCCCAGGCAGCACCCCCTCGCCCCTCCCGAGGCAGCACCTCCTCGCCCCTCCCAGGCTGCATCCCCTCATCCCCTCCCAGGCCCTGGTAGCAGAGAATTCACTCTGTGTCTTTGTGGATTTGCCTGCTCCGTGCATCTCCTATCAATGGACTCGTCGGTCTTTTGTGTGTGGTTTCTTTCATGTTATATCATCTTTTCAAGCCTCATTTGTGTTGTAGCATGTGTCTGAACACCACTCATTTTTAAGGTAAATAATATCCCATGGTGTGAACAGACCTCTGGTGCCCATCCATGCCTCTGCTGATGAGCGTTCGGGCTGCTGGGACTGTCTGAACCATCTGAAACCCCCTGGATCCTGTGCTGCTGATTCTGACATCAGGGGTCCCGAGCACACGCTTGGCAATCCTGGAGTCTCTGATGGAACAGTGGCTGGCATCACCCGGGCACCTGCTACATGCCGAGCACGGAGCTGAATGCACACACGGCCCCACCTGACCTCACACAGATGGGCTGGGCTGCTGCTGGCCCCGTTTGTCAGATGAGGAGACTGGAAGTGGCTCCAGGTCACAGAGCTGCGAGATAACAGGCAGGAGCCCCCAGTGAGTCCAGAGCTCACCCTCCCAAGCCCCCACCTCCAATGGGCCGCATCTTCAATCTCCAGGTCCCAAGCAGCTCAGGACAAGGCTGCTTCCTGATTCTGGGTCTTCCCGGGAACTCACAGCCTGGCACTGAGGCCACCAGTCCCAGTATCTGTTTTCCCAACAGCCCTGTGCTGGCATTACATTCATGTTCTGTTGGCACAAGAGGAACCTGGTCTGCATGGTCCCAAGCAACAGACAGGAATGTTTAACTTGTGTATTGATCTGGCAGCTCTCCAGTGACTTGGGATTTAACAGAATGATTCACTTTCCACCTGGGTTGGTTTGTTTGTTTTTGAGATGGTCTCGCTCTGTTGCCTAGGCTGGAGTACAGTGGCACAATCACGGCTTACTGCAGCCTCCACCTCCTGGTCTCAAATGATCCTCCCACTTCAGCCTCCTGAGTAGCTGGGACTACAGGCATGTGCCACCACACCCAGCTAATTTGTATTTTGTTTTTTGTAGAGACAGGGTCTCACTATGTTGCCCAGGCTGGTCTTGAACTCCCTCCCGGCCACCAGCAATCCTCCTGCCTAGGGCTTACAAAGCACTGGATCTACAGGTGTGAGCCACCACACCAGCTTGTCTGGGCATTTTGACATCATGGAGACACAGCACAGAATTGACCTGAGGGACCTGACAGCCGACCCACCCTGAGGTTTCTGGGTCTGAAGCTGGGCCCAGGCCTGCATGCACACAGCTTTTCCCAGCACGTGCCTGTCCCTTCGACTCAGTGCACACAGAAACCAGATGAGCCCATGACTGCTGGGACAGAGGCTGCCTCGAGTCCCCCACAGCCGGAATGTCCCCTCCAGACAGAGGCCTGGAACAAACAAGGCTCAACTAAAAATAGACTTAAGCATGAGAGATTCAGAGGAAGGCAGCTATTTTTGGTTTGGTGTATTTTTGCAAGAAAAGATGAGAAAAAGAGGCTCCCTCGAGGCTGGAGAGGGAGGTGTGTAAGGGGGGCACGAGGGACTTGGGGAGAAGCCGCAGCTCCTTTTGTCTGTCCTGGGCTGAATCGTATGCCCAAAATGTTGAAGTCCCAACCCCCACGAAAGCTAGGGGAGCTCTGGTTGGAAGCAGAGTCCTTGCAGATGTTATCGGTTAAGATGCGGTGACACTGGATTGGGGGGGCCTCAAATTCAGTAACTGTTCTTATAAGGAGCGGGAGATATGGAGACACAGGCAGAAGCCATGTGAGATGGAGTGACAGTGATGCGGCCACCAGCCAAGGACACCAGGAGCCCCCAGCGTGCCGGGCACTGAGCTGCATGTGGTGCAGCAGGAGCCACGTGGTGACCCTGGCTGCGTGTCTGGGAGGGCGGTGGCTGGCAGACCCCTCCCCACCAGGTGACGAAACACGTGCAAAGACAGCCGCTCGGACAAGTGCCCGGGGAGATGCAGAGCCCCAGGCGGGGAAGGGCAGGGAAGGGCTGTCCTAGGAGGAGGCAGCCGCCATGCTGGTAGGAGGAGACCGAGATCCACCCGACTCGGCAGGGGCTGGGAGTGCCGGTCAGCAGAACACGCCAGGGGAACGGGTGGGCGCAGCATCTCGGAGGGGATTTGCCCGCGAAGCACCAGGTCTCCCAGTGGAACCAGAGCAGGGTCCCATGGCCTGAGATGGGACTGCATCTGGCTCCAGCCCCCACCCCTCATCCGTGCCCACGTGCACCCCAGCCCAGACCATGCCCAGCCGATCACAGGCCAGGTGAGCTTGAAGGTGCTTGGAGCGGTCAGAGTCCAGCCAGGCTGGGTCTCAGAGCGACCCCCGTCTCCAGCCTCGGACAAGGTGGCCCTCTCCAGCCTCAGACACTGGCCTGGCCTGACGGGAGGGGCGTGGCTGGCAGAGGTTTCTTCCCGGGTCTGATCAGAGCCAGAGCAGAGGAGGGTTTCCCTGTGGCGGGTGTTGATGCTTTGGGAAAATGGGTTCCTGGTCGCAAGGTTGACATCCCCCTGGCAGAGTGGGCCGTGCCAAGGTCAGGACATGAAGCGTCTTCTCCTGGGTTGGCTGGAGTCGGGGGCAGCCTGCAGCCTTAGGGGTGGGGGAGGCGGGTGTCATGGACGTCAGTCCCACTTCCTCTCCTGCAGCCACATGAGGCCCACCCACCTCCTCATCCCTGTGCCCAAACCCACACCCTGGCACCCAGCACTTGGAGGCGCCCACAGATGTGTCTGTGACCATCCTGGGACGTGGCCGTGCGTGTGCCGCAGTCCCCGGGCTGGCTGGGAGGTGCCCTCGGAATGATTCATGCAGTGACTTCCCTGTCACCTGGCCCATGGCAAGTGCTCTGGGGACAGCAACGGTGGTGCAGCGAACATCACCCCAGGCCTGCAGCTCCCACCCATGGGCTGTGCCTAAACCTACCCTCAGGCCTGCAGCTCCCACCCACGGGCTGTGCCCAAACCTCCCCTAGGGCTTTGGGCCAGGTGGATGCAGGGAGCAGGGGGTGCGCTGGGCAGAGGGGTCTCCAGGTAGGGACCTTAAAGAAGGATTCCTTCTGTGCTGCCAGTCAGGCCCCTCCAGGTGCTGTCTGGAGAAGGATTTCAAAGTCCAGCCCCATGCCATCCACCCAGGCTTCCCTGAGAGCCACGACCCAGGGCCCTGTTTCTTGAGAAAATCCCAGCATGAAAAACAGCTGGGAGGAAAGCAGTTTGCTGGGCCTCCAAGGCCCCTTGGAGAGCACCCTCCCGAGGAGGCCTCTGAACCACCCGTGCCACCGGAACAGCTGCAGCTGCCTGGAGAGCCAGAGAGAGCCGGGTAGGGCCCGGGGATGGTGCTGGCATCACAGAGCACACCCCCGCCCGCGTTCCAAACGAAAGCACATCACCCCCAAGCGACGCGACCTAAGGGCGAGTTTTAAAAGGAGCACTTACTTATTTTTAGAGTGTGCTTTTCACTCAGGATCACACGACGGAGCTCAATTGCAATAAAAATAGTGCAATCCCGCCAGCAAGAAGCCCATTCGGCAACGTGTCCTTTTGTTCAAAATAAAGTGCAAAATGATTTCTCGCAATAACACCAGCAACCGGCTTCAAAGGCCAGCTGGGTTGGCTGAAGGATAAATGACTAAGCGTACGCTGGGCGCTGCGGAGGAAGCTCAACCGGCCAGGGCTGTGCTCCAGAAACTCCTTTTCCAAAACAGACGCAGCCAGGGAGGCCGGGTCAGGTGGCGGCGTCCAGGTTCCCAGGCTGGCAGGCGCGGAGGCCAGAGAGCAGGCATACCTTCGAGTACTGACTCCTGGGGCACACAGCAGGTTCCTCCCGGGAGGCCCAGGTGGAGGCAGCACAGCCTCTCTCTGTTTTCCTGCAGGCCGACGGGGATTCTCAGTGTGGTCCGCTAAGAAGATGAGTGAGCCCCAGAGCTGAGTGTCTGGGCTGTGGATTGTGATGCAGCTGGAAAAACATAACCAGGACCACCTCGCAGGAAGCACAGGAAGACTCAGGCACAGAGAGGGTCAAGAACTGGCCAAGGTCACACAGCAGGTGTGTGGGGAGCTGCGGTTTGAACCCAGCTCCAGAGTGGGTGCCTTACCCCTCACTGTCGTCCACAGGGGACCACTGAGGGTCCCTTCCCCTCACTGTCGTCCACAGGGGACCACTGAGGGTCCCTTCCCCTCACTGTCGTCCACAGGGGACCACTGAGGGTCCCTTCCCCCAGCAAGTGTTAGACGAGCCCGGCTTTGCTGCTCCTTGGGGTGCTCCCCCTTCGGCACACAGGAACCGCCTGGAAACACTGGGACAAATCTCAGGCATTCCACTCTGATGAAGGCGTCAGGGAAGAGCGAGGGACTGTGCTTCAAGGGGAGAGCTCAGGTTGAGAGAGGAGAACCGGGCCCAGGGTAGGGTGGTGAGGGACCACCCGAGGGGGCCGCACCACCTCCCTGCTTGCCACTGCAGGCTGGACCCGCTCTGCCCACCTATCTCCTCCACCGCCTGGGAGAAGACCCATCCGGGCGCAGAGGGCAAAGGCAGGGCGGAAATGGCCTCGGTCCTCTGCTCCCGAGAGTCCTGCCTGTGCCCAGTGTGGCTGACGTGACCCAGAGCCCGGAAGGACGTGGAGGACAAAGCTTGCTCAGTGCCCCTCACGTCCTGGGCTTTGGCCTCCCCAGAAGCAGCCTCTCCACGGAGGAGGCCTGTGTTTTACTTAACGTGTCCAGGGCCTCGGCTGTGTCCCAGGAAAGCGGGTTTCTGGGTGAGCTCTTCCTCCTCTTGGGAGAATGGAAGCCAGCCTGCCCCATGTGGCTGAGGTGGCGGAGCCGGACCCACACCCTGAGCTGTCCTGTCTGGGACGTGAGCAGGACTCGGAGACACAACCCTTGCAAATTCTCTGTGGATGACAGTGAGGGGCCACGGCACACACTCTGGAGCCAGGTGGCTGGACTCAAACCCCAGCTCCCCACACGCGTGCTGTGTGACCCTGGACCTGTTCTTTTGCCTCTCTGTGCCTCAGTCACCGCCCCTCCAAAACGAGGCTGCAGCAGCTTACCCAGAGAGGAATCAAGGCTGAGGACTCCGGGTCTTCACCTGCTGGCTCTCCTGGCCCTGTCCTGGAGCCCGGAGACAAACAAAGCCTCCCGGGGTGGGTGCTGCTGGAGGAGGGGTCAGTGTAGTGGTGCCGTTTTGCTGATGGATGAAACTTTCTCTCGTTTTGATTAATCATGACTAAAAACTGTGCTTATTATTCGTTTGTTTTCTGTCCTGCTGGGACTTCAGTCACAAAACGATTCTCACAGACTCTGAGTCGAGGTGCCGCAGGGACAGGGTCTTTCTAGACAGCGTTTCACGAGGCCGCCAGAGGACGTGTGGTGCCGAGATGCAAAACAGAACCGGCAATAATTCAACTCTGAATATTTTGCCTTTAATTACAATAAACTAATAAAGATTTCAGATGCTCTCATTTTAATAGAATGCAGAGTTATAATTGGTGACCTATTTTAAGCCATTTAATTTCCAATGACCTGTTTTCCAAATTAACATAGTAATCAAGGCCAGGGTGCTGTTCAGGGAGCCAGACCCTCCAAGGGTCCCACACCTGCGCCGTGTAAAGGTGCATCTCTTACTAATGTGCTCATAGAAAGAGGTGCTAAATTACGGAAAGGTTTCTTTCTACAGCATCTAATGAGCCTGGATTTCTAAATCAAAGCATAATCAAAGAAAATGAGCGAGGACATCTTGAGCATCTGTAAAAATCACTGTTGAAGCCACAACCCTCAATGACTTTGAAGCTCTCCTCGGGACTGGAGCGTATGTCCTCCCCCAGGCAGAGATTGCTCTCAGAGGCTCCTCCAAAACCCCCAGGCAGGAGGGCAGGAGGGAGGGTGAGTCACACACCCCAGCCTCAGGTGCCCTCCCGCTGCCTCCCAGGGACCACCGTGCTTCTGGGCCACCAGCAAGGTGGGGAAGGTGGGGCAGGAGAGAAACAGGAAGGAGGGAAAGGAAAGAAGAGAGGGAGATGGACTGGCTTCAGCTACCCGAGTACAGGAATGTCATCACACCAGCCCTCCAGCGCCTGAAAGAGTCAGTGAGAGGCAGGTGGGGTGTGGATCAGGCCTAATCTCCCCTGGTCTCCTCCTGCAATGCCCAGATTCTTGTCCCCGTACTTCCTTCTCCTTCCTCCCTCCTCCTCCCTCCTCCCTCCTCCTCCCTTCCTCCTCCCTCATTCTCCCTCCCTCCTCTCTCCTCCTTCCTCCTCCCTCTCCCTTCCTCCTTCCTCATTCTCCCTCCCTCCTCTCTCCTCCTTCCTCCTCCCTCTCCCTTCCTCCTCCTCCCACTTCTCTTCCCTCTTCCCTCCGCTTTCCTTCCCTCTTCCCTCCGCTTTCCTTCCCTCTTCCCCATTCCCCTCACTCCTCCCCCTTTCCCTCCCTCCTCCCCCTTTCCCTCCCTCCTGCCCACTCCCTCTCCCCTTCTCCCTCTTCTCATCCCTTCCTCCTCCTCCCTTCTCCCTTCCTCCTCCTTCCTCCTTCCTCCTCCCTCTCTCCTACTTTCCTCCCTCCTCCCTCCTCCCTCCTCCCCGCACTATCCATTTGCAGGCTGCCTGGTCCTAGCCCACATCCAAGGGCCTGTCTCAGCTACAAAGTTCTGCTCTCTGCTTTTAAATGAGGACACAAGGTGGTTTCCAAAACACATGTACAAGGCAGAAATTGCTCTTGAAACGGCAGATGAGCAAGACACGGCCCTTCTTCCCGTTCGCAGTAGAGGCTGGAGGAAACCCCCATTGTCTCAGAAATGGAAACAAGTGCCCTGCTCAGCGGAGCTGGTTTCCTATGGATAGAGCTGCTGGCTCTCTGGAACCTTCCTCCCCACCCGGGACCCCAAACAGCCTTGGGGTTGTGTAGGAAGGAAGGGGATGTCCCAGGCTGGAGGCCGGCAGGGCAGCTGGAATACAGGAGTGGGAGGGGAGGGAGGAGGGGAGCAGTGAGGAGGGCCGGTTCTCCCACACACCTTCTTCTGGCCTTTCCTTCCCCACTCGGGGATCTCACAGGTCCCGCCCGTGGTGCCAGCGATGTCTCTTCTGCGGCTGCTAAAGGGCAGAGGGGCCCCCTGGAGGTAGCTCCATCCAGGCCTGGCTGAGATGTCCAAGAGGCAGCAGGGGACGGGGGTGCAGGTTAACCCTGCCCCAGAGTCTCCGTCCAGGGGCAGCAGGAACAGGCTCAGGACAGCTTCAGCTCCATAGCTGCCCTGGGTGGAAGCCAGGCTGGATACAGAGGCCAGGTCTGCGGACCCTGCAGGTCTCAGGGCAGGAAGTTCTGTTCTGGGAGCCCACTGGGTCCTGAGGTCCATGAGCCCCACCTATCTCCCACCAACAAGCAGCACCTTCCCCTCGCCCCACTGCAGCCCCTGGGCACAGTACAGCACAGGGTAGAGTGAGGGCTGGGAGGGCCGTTGTGGAGTCCCATCGGCTTCAGGTGAAGTTAGTGGCCCTGGTTGACCCCAAGCCTGATCCCCAGTGGGCCTGCTCCTCTCTTCTCACCCCGCCACCACTCGGCGCCTTTTCCAGGCCAAACTCTGCTCCCTCATTCAATAAAATCTCTCCCGGAAGCCAGCTCCCTGGGCCCGCACCTGCCCATGGCCTCTGTAGTGGCCGGGAGCCTGCGGGAGAAGGTGGCGTGTCTTCCCTTCCAGAAAATCTCCCCGCCCTATTTACAGGAGAACCAACGCTCTGCGGCTCCAGCCAGCCCTGTCTCCCCCGACCTTGGGCACCTTTGTCTAAAGGGATGCCCTCCTTAATTCTGTGCTGAGCTGGATTAATTTTTAAAGATGAAGCTTCTGGCTCGTGTGTGCTGCTATTTGTGGTGGCGAGGTCAGGCAGAGTGCCGGCCCAGGGAGCAGGAGGTATTAGTGGGCACTAATTCCCTGGGGACAGCAGGCCGGGATTATTGCTGTGTGCCCAGCCCTTGCCAGCCCTGCTGGCTGCCAGCTGCTGGCAGGGGCCTCACTGTGCCAGGCTGGCTGGCGGCCCACAGCGCACAGGCCACATGGAGCGCACTGGGTCATGGAGCTCTGGATTCAGGTGGGATTATGCCCCCCACCGCCAAAGCCATCCTTTCTGGCAGCAAAGGCCTGTGGGCTGTGGCTGCACCTCTTTCCTGGGTCCAGTTTCTCCCGGGGATTCAAAGTTTCTGGCCCGTTGGTGGCTATAGGGTAACCACAGATGACTCACTTGGGGCGCTAGCTGGTAAGGCTAAGGAGTCCTCCATCAGCCCCCCAGCGCTTCCTGCAGAGCCTGCTGGGCATCCTGTGAAGGAGGGTCCCACAATGACACCAGGTTTCAAGGTGTGCAAGGGGAGGCTCCTGCCTTGGGCAAGTTTGTCTGGCTAGAGAAATAACACCTCCCTGTGCCAACATCAGGGAAACTGACGGGGTGAGATGCACATTAGAGCAGCGAGGGCTGGAAGAGCACAGTGTGGGCCCCTGGTCCCTCGGCTTCTCCAAAATGGTGCAGTGTCAGAGCCTCTCCCAGGAGCTCCTTAGAAATAGAATCCTACGCCTCACCTCAGACCTCCTATATCCAAGTCCATATTTTCACAAGACCTCCAGGCAACTCAAACACACATTTACATTTGAAAAATTTGAGAAGTGCTGCTGCCCTGTTAGGCTCCTGGAGGAGGTCGGTCCTAGAGGTGGAGGCCTTGCGGATGGGCAGAGCCATGTGGGAAGCAGCACGTGGCCCGTGAGCCACAGGGTCATCAGGGCCTGAAGCTCCCCCACACCCATGATGGCGCTGGTGCAGACATGGCCCCATCACACTCCTCCTTTAGAAAGCAAAACAGGCCAGGTGTGGTGTCTCACACCTGTAATCCCAGGACTTTGGAAGGCCAAGGCAGGAGGATCATGAGGTCAGGAGATCGAGACCAGCCTAGCCAACATGGTGAAACCCCGTCTCTACTAAAAATACAAAAATTAGCTGGGCATGGTGGCATATGCCTATAATCCCAGCTACTCTGGAGGCTGAGGCAGAAGAATCGCTTGAACCCAGAAGGCAGAGCTTGCAGTGAGCCAAGATCACCCCATTGCACTCCAGCCTGGGTGACAGGGTGAGACTCCATCTCAAAAAAAAAAAAAAAAAAAAGCAAAAGAGCTCCCACGAAGGTGCCCATACTCCTGAGTGAGGGTGGGAAGGTGCCCACGCTCCTGAGTGAGGGTGCACATGCTCACAGCTGCATTTCCCCTGCTCAAGATCCTCACAGCACTTAGAGGACAGGAAGGTTGTCAGTGCTGAGTCCTGATCACACAGACTTAGTGTTCAGTAAGTGGTTGGGGAACACATGGATGGATAGGTGAGTGACTAGGTGGGTGGGTGGAAGGATGAATGAATAGAAGGACAGATGGGTAGGTGGATAATTCAGGGAATGGATGGATGGATGGATGGATGGATGGATGGTGGATGGATGGATGGTGGATGGATGATGATGGAGATGGAGGATGAGTGGATAGTGGTGGATGGATGGATGGATGGGTGGATAGAATGGATAGATGGTGGATGTGATGGTGGATGGATGAATGATAGTGGCCCATGATGGAATGGGAATGGAATGGTCATGGATGGCACTCTCGCTGTGGATGGATGGATGGATGGATGGAGGAGAAGAGGAATGGATGTGGATGGTGGGTCGCGAATGGTTCATTAGGATTGTTTACAAACTGTGATGGGTGGTGTATGGCTGATGAGAATCTTGGATGGTCTTTGAAGCAGCGCATATATGATATCTTTATGTTTAGATAAGATAGGTTGGATCGCGGTATTGGAATGGGATGGTGGATATGGATGGCATAGATGCTCGGAATGTGTGTTATGATGGGTGGTCAGTCTTGTCTATTCTGAGACACTTGCTGGGATGGACATTTGTAGTGGGGGGATGGCAGTGGTGTCGAT